AGCCAACACTATTGGTATATAGATTTGTTGTTTTGTATGACAGACCAGCACCATTGAAATATGGATTTGTTGTTTTGTATGACAGATTAGCACCATTGGTATATATGTATCTGTTGTTTTGTATGACAGACCAACACTATTGGAATATATTGATCTGTTGTTTTGTATGACAGACCAACACTATTGGAATATATAGATTTGTTTTTGTGTATGACAGACCAACACTATTGGTATTTTGATTTGTTTTGTATGACAGACCAACACCATTGCTATATGGATTTGTTATTTTGTATGACAGGCCAACACTATTGGTATATGGATTTGTTGTTTTGTATGACAGATCAACACTATTGGTATATTGATTTGTTGTTTTAAATGACAGACCAACACCATTGCTATATGGATTTGTTGTTTTGTATGACAGGCCAACACTAGATTAACCTTCATTAGTTACGTTCAAGACAAAAAAAATACATTCCTCAACCTAATTTATCAGATGGATGTCTTGGGATTAGTTATGTGGTCATATAAGTTTGTATGACAGACCAGCACCATTGTATGACAGACCAACACTATTGGTATATAGATTTATTGTTTTGTATGACAGACTAACACTATTGGTATATATGAATTTGTTGTTTTGTATGACAGACCAACACTATTGGTATATAGATTTGTTGTTTTGTATGACATACCAACACCATTGCTATATGGATTTGTTGTTTTGTATGACAGACCAACACCATTTATATATGGATTTGATGTTTTGTATGACAGACCAATACTATTGGTATATATGGATTTGTTGTTTTGTATGGCAGAGCCAACACTACTGGTATATGGATTTGTTGTCTTGTATGACAGACCAACACTACTGGTATTTTGATTTGTTGTTTTGTATGACAAACCAACACTATTGGTATATGGATTTGTTGTTTTGTATGACAGATTTACACTATTGGTATATATGTATCTGTTGTTTTGTATGACAGACCAACACTATTGGTATATATGGATCTGTTGGTTTGTATGACAGACCAACACTATTGGAATATATGGATTTGTTGTTTTGTATGACAGACCAACACTATTTGTATTTTGATTTGTTTGTATGACAGACCAACACCATTGCTATATGGATTTGTTATTTTGTATGACAGACCAACACTATTGATATATGGATTTGTTGTTTTGTATGACAGACCACACTATTGATATATTGATTTGTTGTTTTGTATGACAGACCAACACCTTGATATATGGATTTGTTGTTTTGTATGACAGGCCAACACTATTGTTAAATAGATTTGTTGTTTTGTATGACAGATTAACACTATTGGTATATGGATTTGTTGTTTTGTATGACAGACCAGCACCATTGAAATATGGATATTTTGTTTTTTATGACAGATTAACACTATTGGTATATATGGATCTGTTGTTTTGTATGACAGACCAACACTTTTGGAATATATGGATTTGTTGTCTTGTATGACAGACCAACACTATTGGTATTTTGATTTGTTGTTTTGTATGACAAACCAACACTATTGGTATATGGATTTGTTGTTTTGTATGACAGATTTACACTATTGGTATATATGTATCTGTTGTTTTGTATGACAGACCAACACTATTGGTATATATGGATCTGTTGGTTTGTATGACAGACCAACACAATTGGAATATATGGATTTGTTGTTTTGTATGACAGACCAACACTATTTGTATTTTGATTTGTTTGTATGACAGACCAACACCATTGCTATATGGATTTGTTATTTTGTATGACAGACCAACACTATTGATATATGGATTTGTTGTTTTGTATGACAGACCACACTATTGATATATTGATTTGTTGTTTTGTATGACAGACCAACACCTTGATATATGGATTTGTTGTTTTGTATGACAGGCCAACACTATTGTTAAATAGATTTGTTGTTTTGTATGACAGATTAACACTATTGGTATATGGATTTGTTGTTTTGTATGACAGACCAACACTATTGATATATATGGATTTGTTGTTTTGTTTGACAGACCAACACTATTGATATATATGGATTTGTTGTTTTGTATGACAGACCAACACCATTGCTATATGGATTTGTTGTTTTGCATGACAGACCAACACTATATGTATATATGGATTTGTTGTTTTATATGACAGATCAACACACACTATTGATATATATGGATTTGTTGTTTTGTATAACAGACCAACACTATTTGTATATGGATTTGTTGTTTTGTATAACAGACCAACACTTTTTTATATATGGATTTGTTGTTTTGTATGACAGACCAACACTATTGGTATATGGATTCGTTGTTTTGTATGACAGACCAACAGTATTGGTATATATGGATTTGTTGTTTTGTATGACAGACCAACACCATTGATATATATATGGATTTGTTGTTTTGTATGACAGACCAACAGTATTGGTATATGGATTCGTTGTTTTGTATGACAGACCAGCACTATTAGTATATATGGATTTGTTGTTTTGTATGTTTGTATGACAGACCAACACTATTGGCATATTGATTTGTTGTATGAAATATCATTGCAAGGGAATTTTGTCACAATCAATTTGGTTTTGTCAAGATTTTTGTATACTTTTATCATAAATTAGTCGTGTTACTTTACGCTTTTAAAAATTTCTATTTAATTGTTTAAATGGGATCAATTAAAGGTAATGTAAACAATGGAATTGTACGTAACAGTTCATATGCGACATTAAATTTGCGCCAATTTTTACAAAATCCAGTCTTTTATTTGCGCCACAAGGTTATATTTCATTTGCGCCAAAAAATAAAAACTACATTTGCGCCATTTTACAGGTAACATATACCGGAAATTTTAAACATTCAATGCGATATCGTGAATCATAACTCAGAATCGGAGTTCGAAAAGCTTCTGGTGGCATTACTAAAAGACCATGAAAGGTTATTCGCACAGGACGACTTCAAGGTAAATTATCTTTGCGTTGACAAAATACGATACAATATTGCTTATACAATATGCAAGTAAAAATTTATTTTGCGCAACTTACCACTTAATTTTTGTTTGATTTGGAATTAATATATCATGTTGTGTAAGGTTCATATGATATTTTTGAAAATTTTATCGTACAAGAACTAGAAAATGGCTTTTTGTTTTAATTATCACAAAAATTTGGAATGTTTATTCTTGACCTTTGACCTTGATTTAGCAGAAAATGCACCGTGCGATTTTTCTACGAACGGGCAAAACAGAAGTACAGATCATAAGCTTTCGAATGATATATAATACAGCCGTGTGTTAGGTGGGTGCATTAAAGTCCGTATCTAAGATGCTTTTTGAAAAATGTCACTCGCCTAAATGGTCACAATAAATAAAATTATTGTTTTCACTGTGAATAAAAATTGTGACTCCCGAGTATGATATGAGGTTAGCATTGTCTTGGGATGTCGTTGTCTTGTAGTTGCATAGTATTCATACTCCCGAGTATGATATGAGGTTAGCATTGTCTTGGAATGTCGTTGTCTTGTAGTTGCATAGTATTCATACTCCCGAGTATGATATGAGGTTAGCATTGTCTTGGGATATCGTTGTCTTGTAGTTGCATAGTATTCATAAGAATAATGATCGAAGTGGGATATACAATTTATGTTATTGCTAAAAATAAAATTCCGATATCTAGCAAAATTGCAGTTCTCAGTCATCTTAAGACATTTATGTCTTTCAAGTGAAATAAGCTAAGCTAAATTGTTGTTAAGACCTAACAGTGAACAAATAATGTGGTATTTAATAAAGATTGAAGGACTTTTGAAAAATGCCCCTGGTGCGAAATGAATTAAAGGAAAATTGATCATACCCCCTTTTTAATTGTTGTTGAAGAGAAGTGATAAAAAAACTGTTCTGAACGAAACAAATAAAAAAGATAATTAAATAAAAAATCTAATGTACAAATCTTATTGATATATATGATGATTTGGAACTTTTTTAAGTTAAGATTTCGAAATAGTTTGACATTTTACATTTATCACTCCATGCATAAATCTTTCCATTTCATTTAGATCTCTTTAGAATCTCTTATGGTGGAATTGTCTGTACTAATTGTGTAACCAAGAGCCCTTTTTGTCTCTCCTGTATTAGCTTAAACAATAATACAGTTTTGAGCTATCTTTAGCATTTACATCATGTTTGGTAACATTTTCAGAAGTACGCCCTAATGTTGTTACAACTGCAAAGCTCACATATGAATCAGCGACTCTAATCACAAAAACTCTTACGATAAAAATTGATCGTTAGTTATACTGAAATGTGTATAATTTACGAGTAATTTTACTCTCAAGATTTTTTGTGAAAAGAGCCGCTGTCACACAGCGAATTTAAGTTTCGTAGACTTTTGGAAAACGACCATGTTGTGAAATAAATTCAAAGGGAATTCCCCGTACCTAAATTGGTAAGTTTTGCAATGGTGTATTAAACAAGTGTGTTATATTGCTGTACCATTTGCTTTGTGTGTGCTAGTACAGTGTTGTTAGTCATTTTTTTAGGTCATAAATGACTACCAGAAGAATATTTGGTCGAATCTAATACATATAGATATTAAGATGTATAATTTATGATGAGAATATTTATTGGTTTACATTCTATATACATAGTTTTATAAGTCAAAAACATGGAAAACCACAGTTTTCCAGTAGGAAATATTTGAGTACTGTATTTTGGATATTGTCATCTTAAATGAACTGAGTTATCTTTCTTTGTACTGTTTCTTGTATTTTTATACTAAGGTCATTATAATAAAAAAATACTAGGCAATAAACGTATCTATTGACCCGACGTGTTTATTTTATTATACCACCAACAACAACTTGGTTACATATAAATATTTTCAAAAGTATACCTATCACTGTTAAGCCTAGTTCATGTTTTTATGTGTTACGGCCAGACATCACCTTTAAATTTTAGCCAACAAATTAAAAGACACAAATCAATATTAAATTTTAAAGATTTATTATACAACTTTACAAGAAATATTACACAAATAGAAATGTCAACTTAAATGTTAAAATATATGTTCGATTCTTTGTCTTTTCTATATCCGGAATTCTTCTCTTAACTGTAACGGAATATGTCCAAAAAGTTATGTATGATGTAGTTAACGTAAATAAAAGTGTCAATCTAACAACTCCCGAGAACTTCTGAAAATACAAGTATATTAATGTCTGATCTAAAAGTCTAACTTTGGTGTCTGTATATATAGTTGTCACGGAAACTTCCAGAACACTGTAGAAATCGCAGAAATCGCAGTGATTAAACTCGAATTTTTGTCCATTCTTGAATAATCGCAATAATAAATGCACGCAATAATTTCTGAATTTACAGTACACTGAGCAAAATTTAGACTGTTCTTATTTGTTTACTACATGTATTTCTTAGTGATAAAGGGAATCAGGTGTTTGGCAGTCAACACTAAACTTTTGCACTGACAGCAGCAGTTGTGTCCAGGACACTTGGTTCTACTGAACCCTTTACAATCTGTTTATAATTTGTACTAAATTTTGTTTTTGTTTTTGACTTTTTTTCAGATATTACCGTTTTATCCATGTAATGTCAATGCAAATTTTGCCCGCTATCCCTTAATTTTCTTTTCATAGTTTGATTACAAATAGTTTAAAAAGCCATTTTTGAAAGTCCTTGTTATTTTTTCATAGCTTTTTTCAGAGAAAAAAGGAGCCAATGTTAAATGTAGGAAAAAACTGGAGAGAATCATTCATCCAATTTTTTAATTGATTAGTATCTCAAAAAAAAGGGACAGATATTTTGAAACAGAGAAGCGAACATCTTTAATTCTGGTGTACACAGCCTATACTATAGTATCTGTCCATACCTATTCTCAGTAGTACCCCTATACACAGTCTATATAGGGTATATGTCCATACCTACCCTCAGTAGTACCCTATACACAGTCTATATAGGGTATATGTCCATACCTACCCTCAGTAGTACCCCTATACACAGTCTATATAGGGTATCTGTCCATACCTACCCTCAGTAGTACCCCTATACACAGTCTATATAGGGTATATGTCCATACCTACCCTCAGTAGTACCCCTATACACAGTCTATATAGGGTATATGTCCATACCTACCCTCAGTAGTACCCCTATACACAGTCTATATAGGGTATATGTCCATACCTACCCTCAGTAGTACCCCTATACACAGTCTATATAGGGTATCTGTCCATACCTACCCTCAGTAGTACCCCTATACACAGTCTATATAGGGTATCTGTCCATACCTACCCTCAGTAGTACCCCTATACACAGTCTATATAGGGTATCTGTCCATACCTACCCTCAGTGGTTTTAACATACAATATAGTGATCATGTACACAGTCTGTATATAGTGTCTGTCCATACCTGCCCTCAATGGTTGACAGGGCTTACAATGCTGCGATCCCTTACAGAGTCTAAATAAACTATTTATAAAAAGCTGTCGTAGTTACTGTGCACCTCCGATTAACTGACACACCAATAATTTCTTTATATAGTATAAAGATCGACCAGCGTATCTAGTGCATTTACCTCAAGGTCGTTCCTAGTGTTATGCTATTAAATTGTATATAGTGTAATGCTATACATGTTCCTAGTGTAATGGTATAAGAATCTACCAACCGTGATGCACAAAAGTTCATCAGAAGAAAACATGTTCGCTAAACCGTCGAAATTTGAATTTAAAGAAAGAAAAAAATGTCATGTTCAATTTTTATCACACATTCAAGTGAATTTTCAGTTTCAACCAAATGCGGACGGAATATAAGACACCTGTTAATTTTCTGCACTGAAGGCCGAGGTTGAAGGACATAGCTTTTACATTTTCTGAGATCAATGTTAAAGTAGGGCTAGTATTCGCGCTCAATCTAAAATTTCTGTGTAGTGTTTTGTGGACTGACTCTGTTTTTCTGTTTTTCTTTTTTTGTCGTCATTGTTCTTTTGGCAGTGGAGTTGTTTGTCTCTCTGTGACATTCAAAATGTTCCACTACAGCAGTGTTACCCCCTTGGTATGTTCTGTTTTTTTCTCTCATAAAACTATATAAAATTTGCCAATCAGTTGAATTTTCAATTGCATTTATGTACCTAAACTCGGCTTTGTGTTGATAAAAACAAAAACAAAAAACATGACAATGTCTTTCTAGATAAACTCATCCATTCAAATTCTTTGACAGGAGCGATATTCTGATTTTGCCGCTCATATACGGAAGCGGCCAAATCAGAACATTGCTCCGGACACAGAATCGAGAAAAAAGCGACTGACAGAAATATATTAAGGGGACATTTCTGGTTGGATTTTGATCATCTTAGCAGAATTGTGTATTTGTTTATTTGGTGATATTTTATTTTTGTTGTAAAACTTTTCTTTTTCCGTTGATATAAACACACACAAGTTTTAGTTTGCGTCTTCACCGGCGTGTGTGAAACGGTAAGGGGTGACCATTTGATTAAGGGGCGGGGGGGGGGGGGGAACATTTATTTCCACTTTTACTGCATGCATTTTGTGTTGCAGAATATTCATTTTCAAACAACGAGAAAAAACACATACCATATTGTCTACTATAAAAGGCTCCGACATGAAAAATTCGAAAATAATTCAATTGAGATCACTAACGGCCTAATTTATAACAAACAATTTACGAAAAACAAATATGTCAGATATGAACAAACGACAACCACTGAACTATATGCTCCGGATTTGGGACAGGCACATAAAGGTTCAATGACAATATTCCATTCAGAGTTTTGATAGGAGCAATTATGATCATTTCTTTAAAGTTTTGAACAAGAACGTGCATACTCTTGGAACCGCACGAAATTATTTTTCGGTTGTGTGCCCATTTTTCTTTCATGAAGTAGGGAGATAGCTTGCGTAACTAACGACCACAGGGGGTGTGTGTGTCCTCTTCCTATATGAAGGTATTCACGGAAGTCATAAATCTTCCATCTTCTGGTAAGATGTCTGCAAAAACTGTGCACTGATCTTTTTGTCTAATATTATGAATGATCCCATGAGGGATTCTGCTACAGGCGTGTAATTACGTTTACTTCGCTTTCAACACATAAAAATCATTCGCTCCTTCCTCCTCCTCAAATTGATCTACGTTTAATGATTTTTGATGACATGTAAATATGTTTGAGTCCATGCCTTAATAAATTGGAGATCTGAGATTTCAATGAAGTTACGCTTGTAAAGATTTTCATAAAGTTCTGTCAAATCATAGCTTCTTGTATTTAAAAGAAATTGAACTAATTGATAACTTTTGTCATAGAGGACAGTTTCTTCATTAAAATCTCCCAATACATTGTGAGAATTCCTTTCCCGGGTCACATATGGTTTTGTAAATGCTACGGACACATTTTCTATATGAAGGAAATATTGTGCCATATAGCTTCTCCATATATCGCTGACTCTTCCATTCACACTGTTAGGTAAACCGATATAAAGAAATGACGGAGATATCCATAACGTAGCTTGTGCATTAAATGGAGCATATTTGTTAGTTAACAAAATTCTACCGCTGTTCTTAGTAGAAAAATTGAATGAAACATTCCGAGTTAAACGATATATTGCATCAACATCGGGCTGATTATTGACAAGTGATTGTATAACTCCGACTTGAATAGTATTACTTCTATCCTCTGTGTAGCAATGTGTTGGATGCGTCTTTTCGTCTTTTATCGACTGAAGTGGGAAACCACGAGGCCATGTATCGTTTACCCCAAAGTATGGATATGGATTCATGAGGTTTGATTGCTTGTTTTGACATATTGTCAGTGTATCCCCTAAATTTTCAGTATCAACAATTCCAATATTATCGTCATCGAAATCCCAAATGAATTTTGCTTTGTGATGAATTGCATACATGTATCCTATATTTTTCCTAGCAAAATGTTTGAAAGGAATAACATCGGACAAGAGTGGATAAAGAATAGATTGCTCCAATATAGATAAATATTTCAGTCTTCGTCTTACTATTTCTGTCGGAAAATTCTTTAAATAGTCGTTTTTATTTGGAGTTTGAATATCTGCGACAACAATAAGACACCAGTCGCTGCAATTTGCAATATGCCGCACTGCTTTTGATGGTTCAAATGTTGTCCTCACCACTGCCCATTTGTTACAATTAACAAAGTTATCGTGTTTCGCAAGATAGGAATATTGCGATAAAGGATCTATCCGTGGTATATATCGCTCCTCTTCTTCTAAAAATACAGAACCAGTTACAGTAGACATAATTTTATTTCCTAGGAAGTCATTGTATTTTCGTAACCGAACCATTATGTTGTATGTAGATTTGTGAAAGATAAAATGGTTTCTACAAAAATTTGATTCATTATACTGTGCGTATGGGTAATTTTCGTTTGGTCTACATTGTATATCTCCTTGTAAATCAATATCAGAAGACCCAGTAATCCATTTTGCTAGTGACGTTACACCATTTAAGATTTTGTCTAACAACTCGCTATTTGTTGAGAATTTATCTTTTGTACAGTATATTCCGTTTGCTATTCTTGCAATGACATCACGTCCTAACACAACGAACAGTTCATTAATATCCTTATATATGTTTGTTTTGTTCAGCTTTTTATAATTGTAGCTGAAACATAAATTTGGAGACTTTAGATTGTCCAATCTGTAAAATATTTGGGGGACGCACATAAATGTTTCGTCATCTAGCTTTGCTCCTAAAAGAGCATTTGGATAATGCATTTGTATGTGTTTCATCCATATGTGCATCTTTTTGGCGACATTTATAGATCCACCTCGAGGAGTAACATTCAGACTGAGAATGTCTTTATAAATAATGTTTTCTTTAATTGTTCCTTTATCAAAGTTGTCTATTAGAAATTTATATGTTATTCTGAATGGTATGTGCTGTTGCATTTTCACCATGGCATCAATCCAAGTCTCTCGTTGTATTTGCCGAAATCGCTCCCTGCCATTTGCACTTAAAATGCCCAAAACAATATAAGGTTTTTCACCAGTTTCTGTATGAATAAACTTTGTGTCCACATATTCATGAAATGTATTTATTTTGTGAAATACGAAATATGTTACGACGAAAAAGAATCCAATAATTAAAATGTATCTGAATTTAATTTTAGACATGGCATATCCTTTCAAAACATGGACGAATATTATCTGTAAGAGAAAATCAAGTATTTAAAAAAGTATAATCACTAACAAATTGGACATTTGTTGTTCAGTGGTCAGTGTCGTTTGTAGGTGTGGTTAATATGTGTTTCTCGTTCCTCGGTTTTTATATAGATTAGACCTTGGTTTTTCCTGTTAGAATTGTTTTATAGTAGTCATTTTGGGCCCTTTATAGCTTGCTGTTCGGTGTGAGCCAAGGCTCCGTGTTGAAGGCCATACTTTGACCTATAATTGTTAACTTTTTATACATTGTGACTTGGATGGAGAGTTGTCTCATTGGCACTCATACCACATCTTCTTATTTATATTCTATATTTTCCACGATTCCGAATTTAAAAGCCGATATGTTCATATAAAACGAAACATTTTAGACGTTCGAACGATAGTTCTCTTCGAAATCAAGATGACAAAAGTTATACAAAGCAAATGACAATTTAACAAAATTTCTCTTTCATGCCAATTTGCATAAGTGTGTTTTATTTAGCATTATACACCGTGTGCGCAATACGGCATTCATACATCTATTAGGGTAGTTTTCACTGGTACAGCATGATTGCTAGATTAGTATTACTCCGTGGACCGGAATATGCAAATTTCATTTTGTGTATTAGTAAAATCATGTTGACCTAGAAACAATAGATAATATGGAGAGATGATACGATTATAAAATTTAATTATTAAAACAAAAGTTTAAACGTTTATAAATAATCGCTGAAAACTCATTCGGAAAAGAATTAAAAAAATACAAAACGCAAGTTCATTTATGTCTTTATTTGTGTATGCTAATAAATCAAATTAAGATTTTGCATGATCTCCCTAAATAACCCCCACAGTTTTATATTATTATATTGAAAAGGGAGTTATACACTATCAGTAATATTAATGTCAATTTGAAATGAAGATTTGTATATGTTTCGTCAGTCAAACATTAAGTAAACTGTCGTTGTTTTTGGCATTTACTTTCTGACAGAGAGGGTAACTTGGATCCTCGATGTATAACGGAAAATTGACGAACAGATGCCCATTGCATCTAATATGTACTCTTTGAATATTGTTTTTATTGGTATAAATATTGAATTTGTTATCGGTAAATTAAAACCATACTAAATATTACATATGTACTTTAACGGTACTAGAATCTGTCGGTACCTTTAGTTTGGTATTGCACAAGGTCATGTTTTTCTCTGACTGTTAATGACGTCTTTACACTAAATCCATTGGATGTTGGATGTGTACCGATTGATATTTTAGTCTTAGATACATGTTTTTTTTCATTAGTTATTGTCTTTGAACTAGCTGTCAGTAACTGCGAGTACTCAGAGATCTGTACTTAGTGTATTTTTGTTTTTGGGATATATAAGTACCCGTCCACGTCCACTCTGTGTTTTTGTTAGATGTATTTCTATTTGTATCTATCTGATGGGTTAAGCCTTTTTCAACTGATTTTTATAGTTTGTTCTTATGTTGTACTGTTACACCACTGTAATGATATTGCTATATTATCTTATCGATCTGTTTACATTTATAGAGACTCCGCCTATCTTATCTTGATTGACAATATTAACAGTTACACGTGCTTAAAGTTCATTGACTTTATCTATATATAACACTCTGGGGTTTTATATCATGTGCAGTTCTATATCATGTAGGAGCCTCTAGCCTTTGTTAGTCTTGTATTATTTTTAATTTTAGTTTATTGTGTACAATTTGGAGTTTAGTATGGCGTTCATTATCACTGAACTAGTATATATATTTGTTTAGGGGCCAGCTGAAGGACGCCTCCGGGTGCGGGAATTTCTCGCTGCATTGAAGACCTGTTGGTGGCCTTCTGCTGTTGTCTGTTCTGTGGTCGGGTTGTTGTCTCTTTGACACATTCCCCATTTCAATTCTCAATTTTATTAATTTTACAATAAACATGTATTAATTATATGGATTAACTCAATTGGCCTCTAACGATGGTAACATAACATGGTGTCAGATGTAAAAACGACTTTAAAATAGTTAATAGCAAATGCTATCGTTATTGTTTGGTGGGGAAAAGATAAAAGAAAGAATGGATGGTCATTTTAAGCAACCGCTAGAAA